GGTACTCTATAATTCAATTTATTTAGTTATTTGTTTAGTTAAATCCACTCAGACGATCGTCTTCTTCAAAGTAGACGTGGGTTCGTTTGTAACTTAGGTTTTCAGCGTAATCTGCGATTGGGGGAAAATTGTTGGAAATTAATTCTTACAGATCGCTAATGCAAGTATAAAATAATGGCAGTCCTAAAATAGACATTTGTACAAGGGAATAGTGTACCGGTGACTGAAGTGAGGCAACTTCAGTCATGTGTAGGCAAAATGTTGTATGACCCAGAAGACGCTTGAGACATTTACCCGGTGACACCAAAAACTCTGAAGAAAGAAGGAACTTGTGCAAACACTGTTTCCTCGGATGTACCAGTTGATGAAAAAGAAGACCGTCCATCCACGAAATTCAACGTGGCTGAGAACCAATTTCTTGTGCGAGAAAAGGACAAACTCAATGGATCACCGAAAACAAAGCAATCTCAGTGTCCCGAAAAGACAACGAAGACCAGTTTTTCAGTATGAGGGAACGGGAAACAAGCACACTACAAGCAAACTACCGTGCTGTCAAAGGTCGACAATGACCAGGAAGCTTCGGTAACTGCACAACCATTTGTTAGCTATGTCACGACAGACCTCCCCAAATCAAAGGGCCTCGACAACCAGGATAGCCATGATGTAGTCTCTGCATACAGGGGTAAACCACGCGGATTTAAGGTTGATCGTAGTAAATGCATTGTAATAAAGAACGTGCGTGAGTCGGCTTGCAACACCCAAAAGGACAGAATACACCATGATATAGAACTGACCCTGCAATATTTTGACGGCTTCTTACACTGGAACGAAACTGTCACCTTACTAAATGCCTTCAGTATGACCCAACTGAAAGACTCAAAAGATGAATCGGACCAACCAAGATAGCTAAAAGTTGCCTTCCTGAATGGAGGACAAGCGCGACTATTGTTAAGTATGAAATTTGCACCCCGGAAAGTCCACCAAATGGTTTTGTCAGTGAGATTTGTCACCATCAGAGAGAGAAAAAAATAGGAGGGCTCAAAACCGAACTCCTTAGGAGTTTCGGCCGGGGTGAGAGCAGTCTCAGCTAAGGCGTGGTAGATACCAGTCCGTCTTCATCTGCACCGGCACGTGTTTGCATTCACTTCTTCGAAATGGGCAAACGCTTGCATAACGAAGCTGCCAAGGTTGAATTCGGTTTTGTATGCTAATGCTCCAAGTCCTGCTTCGAACATCGAGTAAATCAAGTCGTTAGTTTCGGGAATAAACCCCGATGACATTGTCTTAACAGCAATTCCATCAGTTGAATGAACGTACATTCTGTGACTTGAATATTCATCTGACTGCGTAAAGATAAAGAATAATTCGCAAAGCCTTGAATTTCCGACGGTTTACAGACGACAAAACCAACCGAGTGTAGCCGATGACTCGCCACTCTACGCAGCCAACGAAGTGGTTAGCCGACAAGATGTTCTCATTGCTGGGGATTTCAACTCACCTGCAATAGACTGGACCAATCTGGCAGTTTACGGTGCGTTTAATTCCTTTGACCATGGGATAATGAAGCTCACACTTGATCTCCGTCTCGCACCGAATGTAAATGCAACAAAGAGATTTAGAAGGAACCGTGGGTCCAACTGATAGGTCTGATTTTCACGGATAACTAGTCCAAAATTTGCAAAGTGTATTCCAGTGCACCTCTAGGGAAGAGTGATCATACTATGCTGTTTCCCCAGCGCCAGTAGAGAACACAAGAGCAACGAAATACACAACCGAATTATACGCATCATTCGGATATAAAAGTGAAAGAAGGCGTAATTTCCTACTGAATAAGCAGAAGAATGAATATTTTTAGGTATGTTTTCTACGAAATATAATTGAATTTTTAAGGGCATCGAAAATCAATGATAAGAATGCATGCTAATTAAGAAGTCATTTTTTGCAGAGTATAGTTTTTGCATGCAGCCGGAAGGAAGCTATTTTGATAGCCGGTATTCTGAGGTAACCCAATTATTATAGAATGACGCTGCACGATAATCCGTTTGACAACCCTACTTGTCATGGCACCGGTTGTTTACATTCTATAGCCTCCTTTATTTGTGTGATCCGACTTCTTTAGAGTTAATTAGCTGATAGCTGAAAATGATGGGTATGGACTAAGAACAGGAAAAGTTCAGCCGACAGTATTCTTAAAAGCACCAAGAATTCGAATGCGAATATATGCTGATTGCAGAAGTTATATACTCACATTTCGTTGATACCAACACGAAAACTTAAACGAAGAGATTGAGTGAAAAGAGCGCTGGCATTTTGCACTCACATAAAGCAGCGGGCGCTTCATGGTCTGGCGCTGTGTGCTTGTAATACCACAGCGAATCCCCCGTCTACATGCATCACACTTTTTCTCGTCCTCTCAATTATAAGTTACGTCGTGCCGGCTCGCTCGGTGGGCGGCATGGCTTCCAGGCAAACTAGCCACTCATTTATAAAACGCCGCTACCAGCCGCTCGGGCGCCCCGACGCAACAAACGCTGCCTAGTGAACTTTACTCTCCGAATTTTAGCTTGGGCATGTGGTATTTATGTGGGTAGCAGTCAGGGTAACGGTCCACACACGCCTCAGTTTTATAACGAAAATTCCGGCGCATGCGATCACCGTGTTGTTTGTACGCCGCTAACTTGACTGTCCATGATTACCTCGCGTCGTTTTATTCTTATGGGAAAGGGCAATAGCAGTCTCCCAATATCCTTTCGGTCGTCACGGAAGCAAAAAATAGCCGCTACTGAAATAATGTTAGTAACACGAATAAAGTGCCGTAATTGGCCGTCATACTGTTTCAGTACATTTTTCTAAGTGCATGCAACCCCGACTCGTCGGACGCATTGCTGGAACACTCGACAAAGTCTGGCCTTGATTCTGACAGCCCGCGAAACTCCCGCCTATCCAAGACCTCCGAAGTGCGTGAATGAACCCGCTTGTTTTCTGCTTTTTCAAGTTTTCCATATAGTTTCTCAATAGCATGGAGGTCCCCAGTTCCCTCGATGGCTATCAGGCCTTTTTGAATCATCTGAAAGAGGGATTGGTAGTATAGCCTCACCGCACAGAAGGCCGGATAAGCGTCAAGTAACCGGTAGGTGATTAGCTCTAGCATTTTAAAAAAGTCCTGTGACCATACGCGCTTACTTCACAGCACTTAACTTAGAGGATAACGGTTTTACTTAACAGTGACCTTAAACCTCAAGTAAGGCGGATAACAGCTATCAGCTAAAACGATAAATATTTACATTGAAATTTCCAAATAGGGAGGACTTGTAAGGGGATTTAAATACTGGCAGACATTGAACGCGCGTCCACTCCAATTACTGAACGGCGTAATGGTAATAGTTAGTCGAAAATCTTTGCAGTCAGACGCGTGGATTATGCTCTGAAAAATGACCAGTAGATAAATGCACAATCGCGCACTGCTTTTCGATGTGTTTCCCTGAAACGGATGGTCAACATATAAACTTCTTACGAATATTTCTTATGAAGTCAACTGCTTCGAACGTGATACATGAGTGGAGGAAGTATTTCGACTCTCAGGTTTGCCCCTGCTTATTTGTATAACTGACTATCTCTAGGTTCAGTAATGAGAGGGACGCTGTTTAAACTGTTCAAAGTGTAAAGTTCGATTCACGTCCGTTACAGTGTTTCTTCAGTCCAAATAGGCAATTCCGTAAGGAGAGTCAAGTTGGGAGGCCGTCCGCAAAAAACACCGCAGTCGACAAGCATTAAATCTTAAGAAACGGCATTGTTCCTGAAAATGCGCATACGATATCAGACGCCGGACCTGCAGTCAAAAAGCTTCGGAGGCCTTACATCCAGGCAGAGTTTGAGAGCTAAATGTGGAGGGGAAGACAATCCCGTTTGTTGGAGTGTGGGTGAGAAAACCACGAGGCACTGTCCACCGCTCGCATGATCTCGGTCTCGCCCAACTTATAAACTCGATCGGACCCCTCGAGTAAGATGAAACTTGGGACAGCGCCACTCATCCCCACCGCCAGTGTGTGTTCCGCCATCCGTGTCCAGTGCAATACCCAGTTCCTCTGACCCAGTTGCTTCGCGCGCAACCCTATCAGATGTTATGAACGACCGCAGACCTCCCTCGCTGGGTCTTTCAGCCCCATTACTTCGCACCGGGTAGTTTCCTCTCGCCAGAGTGAACTCCAAATCTCGAGAGCTGCGAGAAAGCGGCCGATGGCTTCCGGGCGCCCGCCAAAATACTGGGTCGATGCGGTTTGGTCCCTTACTTAATTCTTTTCCGTACACCTACTGACGATATTGCAAGGATAGTTACCCACCCAGTCCACCCGTCAAGGGCACGGTAGCCCGGCACCCATAGTGAATCTCAACACGTCCCACGCAACTGCGTTCGCGGCTTATTTTTTTAGTAGCTGTCCTTCAGCACTCGCCGTTTTACTTGACAAGATTCACCGGAGCTCGCATTATTGTTTATACCCAGTTACTTTGGTAGTCAGTAGTATCTAGTGGGGTGTAGGAGTGTCCAGTTAAGGGGCACTCCATGCAGAGGCGCTAGGTCGCATCACGCAAATAGTGACCGCTCCTCACCGTCCTTAACTGACACCCAACTCTCATATGTGGCTCCCCGAAGTCAGGCTCTGCCCAGCGGCCGCACCCCGGTAACCGTCCCGACCAGCGAGCTAGAGCAGTGAGGGTATCCGGTGTTGTGTACGTCTCCACACCCAGTAAATCCGCTTCCCTTCCCATCGCCCCTCCTTATCCCCCCCCCCCCACTTCAAAAAGGCCCATGGAGAGAGCGACATGCAATCGAGTAGGCGACACGGGCAAGCGCGGATCGCTCTTCCACTAAACCAACCCGTGACCCATTATGGGGTCTAGTAGCCGCCTGGGACGTCTCAGCAGCCCCATTTAGGGACAGCACTGATTACCCGGTCGGGCGGGGGAAGGGGCTTGAGGTGCTCTAATCAAACGCTGGGATCATGTCGTCTGCACTCAGACCATGGCTCGAAGATGTGCAACTCACGATCGAAACAAATAAACAACCCATGCCTCCATCCCCCAGTCCGACTGACGCTGGTCACACTCCAACAGCCCGGGATGTTCGTTCTCTTTTAGACAACCTGCGGAGTGACCGACCGGGAAGTAGGACGGTGATAGTTGCTCAAGAACTGGCGCGTTACAAGGTGGACGTCGTTGGCCTCAGCGAGACCCGCCGCTCCTTCGAACAAGGCCCATTGGAGGTCACTACCGGCCACCCAAAGATAGGGCAACGTGACGTCGGTGTCGTCGTTGTCATGCAGAATGACGTCGTGGGACGGCTGCCGTGTCCGCCGCAGGTCTTCAACGGCCCCCTCGTGGGCCAACGCCTCCCTCTTCGGGGAGCCAAATTCGTCTCCGTCGTCAGCGCCAAACTCTCCCAATGACCAGCTCCTCGGAGGCGAAAAAGAAATCCGACGAAGACCTGCACGCCTCCTATCGACTGTGTCGAAGGCGGACAAGTTGGTTGTGTTCGGTGACCTCAGTGCCAACTTCGGGACAGGCCATTTTGGCTGGGGCTTCTGGATCCCCACAGACCCGACGGCTGCGGCGACAATGGCTTCCCCCCTCCCTGCACATCTGCGCAGAACATTGTCTCCTCCTGACCAACACCTTCTTCTGCCTTCCGACGCGGGAGAAGACAACGTGGGGTGCAGCCCGATCAATGCTCTGGCAGCTGCTGGACTGCCTTCTCGTCCGAAGGCGAGGTCGGGCGGATGTGCTGGTAACAACGGCGATCTGCGACGACGGGTGGTTGGACCGGCCACAGCCCCGTCAACTCCAAGATGAGGCTTCGACAGCAATCTCAGGGAAGGCCACAAGGTAAGCGACCAGCCGGTAAGTTAAGCACTGTTCAGTTGAGTTCGCTTGCTCAGGGTTATGACTACAGCCTGGAGACTGCGATCGGGGCGTCACCCACTCCGCAAACTCGAACATCCTCGGTCGTGCACACCGCCAACACCAGTATTGGTTTGACAACAACGAAGCCGACATCAGCAATCTACTCACCGAAAAGAACACATTGCATGGGGCCTACACCGCCTGCCTCACCAATGCAAGCAAAGTTGCCTCCTTCATATGACGCCGCCCTAAGCGGCGACGACTGCGGGACATACAGGACGTCTGGATGGGTCACGAGGCAAAGGAACTGCAAGGGTACCGCAATGAGACGAGTTTCTTCGCTTCAATCAGGAAAGCCTACGGCCTCACAGCCAAGGGATCCGCGCCGCTTCTCAGCTTCGACGGAACAACACTCTTCACAGAGAAATCGCAAATTCTGGGGGGCTGGACCGAGCGCTTCAGAACTGTCCTCAACCGCCCGTCCACAATCTCTGACGCCGCCATTGACCGGCTCCCTCAGGTAACAACGAACAATGACCTGGACTTCCCGCCATCCCTTCCAGAAATCAGAGTCGCGCACAGCTCTCCAGAGGGGGGAAGGCACCGGAATCCGATGCGATCCCAGTCGAATTCTACAAGCACGACAGCCCCCGGCCGATAGACAAACTTACAACGACATCCCAGAATGTGGCATCAAAGACAAGTTCGCCATGATTTCGAAGACACGGCAATCGTCCATCTCTACAGATAGAAGGGTAACCGACAACTCCGTGATAGAGGAATCTCGCTGCTTTCACAGCCCGTAGTGCCCACGGACATTCACTAACCGCACAGGTCCGCTCGGTCACATGCGTATCCACAAAAGTGCAATGCACCGCAATGTCGACACCCCCCGCGAACCGGACAACTCTTCCACCTCCAGCAGTACCAACTCCCATCCACCACAGCACCCACAAACAGCAGCATAACCTCTGCAACCGACTCGGCAACCCCTAACCTAGACGTGCGCTGCATCTACCGGGTTCTCTCCACCCCCACCGGGACCGGGTGTCAAGACAGAGTCCAGAAGGCCGGAGGCGGGAGAGAGTGCAAGTGGCTGGCACGGCGAAAAACCGCGTCTAGGTGTACAACCACAGACCCTGATCCACAGCGTACATTGACCAGGATTTTAAACGAATAGGGGGCGGCTCGGAGTTCAGTCGGCGCGACGCGAGCCTGCACCTGGGCGTCCCACCATACCTCCAATGTTGGCATTTGTCAGGGATGCGGATTCTCCATACCGCCTAGAGGACCGCGATCTATAAAACTAGTTCACGCGTATGTCACCGTCCCTGCGCCCACCCTGCTGTGGGGCACGCCGTGGACATTGTCGGCATCGACGGTAAAACTGTCATTATTACCTAGTAGAAGTCATGAAACACATCTAGGTAGCCACCCGCCAATCAAAAGGTATGATGGTAGCAAAACCGCTTCATTGCCAGTGTGAAATGCATACATCAGGAGGAGACAGATAGAGAAGGGAATCATCATTAACTATGTATACTCATCGCAAAAGCATAAAATATATATATGTATATATATTCGGGTCACAGGGAAGGGGAGAAACTAGAGACATAATCGTCTGTGTGAGAGTCGGGGCAGTTTCTTTCGTCAGAAAAAAAGGGTGCAACAACCACCCACCTAGCAAGTAGAGGAAGGATCTCGAAGAAATTTTAAAACCGAGGAACCCAGCCGAAAAAGGGACGTCTGTGCCTGGTAGATTGCATGTATGCCATCAGGTGCGGGATGGGGACAGGGTCGATACCGAAGGTGGGCGACATGATGGAATACCGCAAGCGGCACCGTCGCAAGGATAGGGCGGGAATATGGATAAGGGTTCTATACAGTGGGCAGGCAGGGAGAGAGAGATGAGATACAACGGAGGAAACCGTGAGCGCTCAGGGGTAGCGTAGAAAAACAGCGCAAGTGCGTGCGTGTGAATATACATCAACATATGGGGATGGCCCGGCGCGTGCCAACTCAGAGTAGCACACACACAGCCGCGATGTTAAGTGGGAGAGGGGCGCAAACGGGCGTGGCGGGAGAGGCAAGATAGTCGCAGAGTTGAGCTTGAGAGTGTAAGAGACCGTGGTCGTCCGCAGTACAGTCAACTATAGAGGTGAGGAAATTGGGTTAGAGATTACACGACAGCCACCTGCTCCACTGCAGATGAAGACTTAGACATAGTGGAGGAGGCAGTCATCGACGGTGAAAGAGCACTGGTCCTCGCATCACTGCTGTCATGATTTTCTGCAGGAGTTAAATTAGCCTTCCGTTCAGGCGCAGCTTCCTCCTGCTCCTCCTCGATCGCCATCATTAATTGGCATCCCTCATCCCCAGGGGTCGATGTTTCCTCGTCCTCCGATTCAACTTCTCCTTCCTTCTCCTGGCATAATTTAGGAGCATGGCCATCGTGCTTGCAGGCGTCAGTTTGCAGCTCCGTCTTTGATGAACTTTCATCCCGACCGACTGCTGACAACTCTTCCTTAGCCTCCTTCTCGGGGACCACTTGACCCGTCTTCTCTGCCCCACTGAGCAGTTCCAAGACCTTGGCAGGAGATGGCAGTTCCGGCAGAAGTTTCGTGTCTCCGCCGGCAGCAGCAGATCCGGTGGGCAAGTTGAAGAGCGCGCCCGATAATAGTTTGGCGACTTCAGCATCGAGCACTCGAGACGTGGCCAGTCCTAGGAGGCGCAATTCCAATTCCGGCGTAAAGCGTGCTCGTCCGACTGGGTTGGCTGCGAGACGCTCTAGCAGGCGTCCTGCACGTCGAACCATCTCCAGGGTGGTCCCCATCAGTTCGGGCTGCTCCTGCAAGGCCTGCACACCGTACTGGTCAATCGCGCGACGAGTCTTGGCTTCCGCCGCCTCTATAAAAGCCGTGAGACCAGCGAGGGGACAGGGTTTCGCCCGAGCCAGCAGAGTAAGACCGAATGATTTGCTGGCCGCAGCCTGCTGAAGCTGCTGGGAGCCAGATGAAGTTGTGGAGGACACCGGGGTGTCGTCAGTCTGGCACCAGGAAGATGACTCAGAGAGGTAATGCATTGTGGAGAGAGCCAGTTCTCGTGTTATCTGGTCTTCAGGCAAGGCGAGCCAGGAGGCCAGGCGATCGAAGAGTTGTTCAAGTACACGTGTATCGGGGGTGGACAGCAGCATGTCCACATTGGACTCATTTACGGAGAGACGATTCAGCGTTTCGAGAGCCAGGCGACATGGACTAATGACTCTGTGTCCCGGCAGAGGGTCTACGGCAACGGCGGTCTCACATGTGACCCAATGAAGTAAGCCCTCAAGAAGGGGCCGGACGATGGCCTCGTGTAAGTTGATGCACTGTAAGTGGCCCGCGATGTTGACAAGCAGAACAAGTACATTCTCATAGAGCTCTTCTTGCCATGGCATCCACCAGGCTGAGGAGTCCTCAAACTTGGCCGTTTCTGCCTCGGCACTGGCCCAGTCGACTGCCTCGTCGGCGTGATAGTGACCCAGAGAGAGTATCCTGCCCATGAGGGCCAGAACGGCCTTATGTGAGGAAAGACAACGTTCGACAGCCGGAAAGAATGAAAAGTTGCGCAGGACGGTGGACACACAAAGACAGAGGAGAGCATGCGTCTCCGCGGTGAGCGCTGTCGTGCCAGTAGGCCAAAGGACCGGTTCCCCAAGCCGGATAATTTCGCTGCGCGCACGCAGAGGACAGTAACCCTTGGAGTCGGTCATTAGCCGGTGACTGTTGAGCTCATCGTCTTCCGCTTCTGTTGCACTAGCAGTCGTTGTCGAAACCGCAGCTGATGGGACACAGTCGACGCGGCCACTCAGGGACTCCTCACCGGCGGTGTTCTGTGGCGAAAGCACGGGGCAGGGGAGCGAGGACGATGAAGAGGACGAAGAGCGGGCGCGTTTGGCAGCCGGAGGCTCGTCCTCTCCATCTGCCACCGTTGACCGGTCCTGGACAGTGGAGGACATGGACCGTCGACTGTCACTGCAGTTAACTCCTTCCGACGCCGAAGGTGTCCTTGTCGTTGCCGTCGTCAGTGGTAACGACTGTGAAGCCAGCGGATCAGCGGCCCCAAACGTAGGCAAAATGTAACAACTGGTGTCAGCCCCACCCCGGATGAAGAGTTCGCGCATGCTGAGACCGCCCGCACCACCGGCTGCGGCTGAGGACAATGCGCCGTCGGGAGAGGATGGTGCGCTACTAAGGCAATTGTCAGCGGGAAGCAGTACGGGCGGTCCAGTGTCGGGATCATCCTCCAAGAGCGGCGGTGGCATGTCGTTTTCCAGGAGAAGGAGCTCATTCATCACGAAAAGGGCCAATTTTCGAAGGTTGGTATAGGCTTCCGGACCGCTTAAACCGCCGGCCAACACAACGGGATGCGTGGAGGACTTCATGCCCGCAGCATGTGATGCAGAAACCACCGGTGTTGACGGCGGAGGCAATTTCGTGGTGTCCTCAAACCCAATACCGTCAATAGTGGAGGAAAACGGACCCGCGGCAGTTGGTCGACCACGACG